GACGTGTGCTCTTCCGATCTCCTAAGTGCGTTTTTTTTCAAATTACATACGGGATTCGATTGTCCACAATTAATCAGTATTTGTCCAATAATAATAATTTTTTGTCCACTCTTGGAAAAAATATAAAAAATAAAAAAATTTTAACGTAAGCACCCCTAAGTGCGTTTTTTTTTAAATTACATACGGGATTCGATTGTCCACAATTTGTCCGCATTTGTCCAATAATAATAATTTTTTGTCCACCTTGCTACAAAAAATTATAAATAAATAAAAAAGGTTAGAGCTTGCCAGAAACACTCATAAGTGTATTTATCTTGAAATTACATACGGGATTCGATTGTCCACAATTTGTCCACGATTTATACACATTTGTTTATAAACAATTTTTTATTACTATATAAATACAACTATATAAATAGTGCACAAAAAATTATTACAAGTATTGTTACACTACAATGTTCATTACACACACGCACACGCACACTTGTATACTACTTACACATACATCAACTATACTCCTATATCAATATTAAGATGTCAATATTAAGACGTTGGTTTTAATTTTACTTTTCAAATTATTTTAGTTTTGTGTTACTATAATAGAAAGTTGTCATGCTTCTTCCCACATATAAGATTTTCGTTTTATTTTAATTTTTATGGCATTCTTATTTAAGTACTATTATTTATACGATTGTTTATATCGTGCAGTATTATGCAATATTAAAATAATTTAGGACATTAAGCAAATTTTATAAAATAAATATTTTTATTATTTTAAAATTATATGTGAAAGATTTGTTTTGTCACTCACGTACTATCGACATAGTAGTCTTCAAATAAATAAAATATTACATAACATTTATTTTTAATTTTAAATTAGATTTTCTTATTCCGTTTAAATTAATTTAACGCTATGAATTTAGTTTAAAATATTGATTCACATGTCAAAAAGACAGTAGATGCTATAATTCTACTTTATTTTTAACTTTGACATCTTAATATTGATATAGGAGTATAGTTGATGTATGTGTAAGTAGTATACAAGTGTGCGTGGCGTGTGTGTGCGCGCGCGCGCGTGTGCATGTGTGTAATGAACATTGTAGTGTAACAATACTTGTAATAATTTTTTGTGCACTATTTATATAGTTGTATTTATATAGTAATAAAAAATTGTTTATAAACAAATGTGTATAAATCGTGGACAAATTGTGGACAATCGAATCCCGTATGTAATTTCAAGATAAATACACTTATGAGTGTTTCTGGCAAGCTTTAACCTTTTTTTTATTTATAATTTTTTGTAGCAAGGTGGACAAAAAATTATTATTATTGGACAAATGCGGACAAATTGTGGACAATCGAATCCCGTATGTAATTTTTAAAAAAACGCACTTAGGGGTGCTTACGTTAAAATTTTTTTATTTTTTATATTTTTTCCAAGAGTGGACAAAAAATTATTATTATTGGACAAATACTGATTAATTGTGGACAATCGAATCCCGTATGTAATTTAGAAAAAAAACGCACTTAGGGGTGCTGACGTAAAAAAATTTTTTTTTTTAATTTTTTCCAAGAGTGGACAAAAGATTATTATTCTTGGACAAATATGGACATATTGTGGACAATCTAATGCCATATAGATTTTGTCAAAATTTGCATTTAGGGGTGCCAACTTCACGCAGCTTACAAACATATATAAATATATAAACTAAATTGCTAATATCTTCCTTATTTAATATGAATTTTTTTGATCTCTAAAATATACTTATTATATGATTCCGATTTTATTCTAACATTCAGAAAAATATCTGTGCGTTACAATGTTATATATATCAGATAACTATTGAACAGGAAAAGAAAAGATAGTATAAATAAAGGTGATTCGGCCAAGGAACTAACTGTTATTCAAACACATGCTAGATATTATTGATTTAAGAAATAATATCTTGAATCATAAAATAAAAATAAAATTATCATAAGAAAAAAAGAAGAGTTGAATGAAACTTAATTTATATTATTTTTAAATTATTGTGTGCATAAATGTTCTCGTTAGTATCACTGCATCATTTATATAAAATTAGTCTCAATTAATAGATTTATGTATATTAGGGCTTGTTAGAGCTACATTAAAACTATATTAGAACTTACAATAATACATCAAGTTTTATAAAACTAAAAAAGAAGATTGTACATTTATATTAAGAGTACGTATCATTTATCGTACTTTTATGTCAATAAATGCTTGTGAAGAAATGAACGAGCTTTTTTGTCAGTATCAGGATTGTTTTATATATTATCATTTTATGCACAATCTTTTCTTTTTTTCTATCATATTCCTCAATTCTGAGACTTGTGATTCCGAATTACACGTAAAAGAATAAAAATATTTAGCCCGTGTTGAATTATTTCTTAATAATAAAATAAAGCTCGGTATCGAATAGATCGTATCATTATGTGACATTAAATAGATGTACAAGATGTGATCTTGGAGAAGAGAAATTTCCCTCCATATACATAATTTATTTTATCATAATCGAGAAATGATTTATGCGGTATTAAGAAAACTAACATTATATCATTCCCACGTGCTCCAATCTAGCAGTCTGTTAGCAGCGACCAATAACACACCTTACACACTATTTCATGTGCCTGTTACTGCATAACCAATTGGTTCCAGCTCTACACAGTAATTATAAAGTTGTTACATAATTTTACATAAACTCACATTCATTCGTCCGCTCCCGGAGATCAGTTCATGACGCGCGGTGACTCCTAATTCACATAGCTGCCTCGGTCTTGGCGCGTTTGCAGGGGTTTACCGTGTTTTCTCCCGGGATACAGTCGTTATTTTCTTCAGCGGTTGGCGAGACCGATCGCTTCTTCGTAACGCATACCTCCGCAACGGTGTTATTTTTAACAGATGCCGGCGATTGAAACTTAACTATTACGGCAGTCATGTTGTCGCAGCCCGTTCCATCGCCGAGAGTGTCTGGTGCAAGACAATGATCGAAGAGCTGTAACACACATTTCGGATTACGTTTCATTTAGAAACAATATTCTAAATTTTCTAAAAATAAGATGCGCGCGAGCACGTTTAAAGATTGTTCCTGCTCTTTCGAGCTTGCGTAACATAATGCCATACCTCCTCGCAGATTTTCGAAATGTTCTCGTAATTTTGTGACAAACGGGTGCGCACAAACTGAACGACGTTTTGACTGGTCATGAAGTTCCATATACCATCGCAAGCCAGCACCATAAATTCGTCTTTCTCCGGATCGATTGTAACATGCCTTATGTCTGGCAGGGCGGAGATCATTTGTTTCTCGGGTGGTAGTCCCGTGTTTTGCTTATACGCGTGATCGCCGAGCGCTCTGGAAAGATTGAGGCCGCCATTCACTCTGCCGTCGTTCATCACCTCTCCGCCTGCTTTTACAATACGTTCCATTTCCGGTGCGTCTTCGGGTTTATGGTCCAGACTAAGTTCGATCGCTTGGCCATCCCTGCATAGGACACACCGAGAGTCTCCAGCATTGGCGACGTACAATTCATTTCCCTTCAGCACGGCTACAACTGCTGTGCAGCCACTGTCCGAACCAGGCTGCACAAAAGAGGCATTATACAATCATATATTACACAAATTCAAGTGAAAGTTTCTAAACAAATTATTTAACAAATATTTAACATATTTAAATTTCATTGAACAATTGTCTTTTTCTTTAATTTTACTTTAGATATTCATGGATATTCAAGAGGGAATTTCAATGAATTCTATACAAAAATCAGTATTGTACCTTTTCAGAGTTCACCATGAGATCATCAGTATCATCATCAGAATCTATATCTTCCTCCTCAACTTCGTCATCATCTTCTTCACTTTCATCCTCGTCAATATCTTCCGTATCTCCGTCACTGCAAAATCAATTTAAAAAAAGGGGGAAATCTCTATTTAAAAGCAATGCTTAGAAATAATAATCTTCTTTCAACTAGTATAAATCTATACCTTTCGGGTATACCATCGAATGTTTCATCATTTTCGTCATCGTCGTCATCTTCTTCAGAATCGCTGTCCTTTTTCAGTAGACTTTGATAAAGATCGACAGGCTGAGTTCTTCTTCGACCACTGCTGGTTATCCGTTCTTGCTGGTCCGCGTCTCCGTTTTCCACAGGGGTACAAGAACTGCTCGATACGTTGTCCCCTCCGCCCTTACTGCTGTCTGCATCTCCGATCCTCTTCGATTCCGCGCCATTAACTTCCACCTCGTTCGCATTGGACTCCGCGCATGGTGGCGCCTTGCCGGGACTCGAGACTTTCTCCTTCACGTCCTCGGAGCTATCGGGCATATCCATAGACTTAGCAGTTTCTCCTTCCTTGCTGGATACAACCGGTGGAGACGCATGAGCGCTGCCGTTGCTCGTCGTCGAATCCAGCACTTGCTCAGCTTCGTTGTTTCCCGGGCTGTCGGAATCCTTTCGCTCCACTGTGCTGGACAGAGCCGATCCGCACGGCTGACTGGAACTACTCACGTCTGTCTCGTTTGTATTCCAGTCGGACGCGGATGAGGACGAGGACGACGACGACAATGAGGACAGTGTCGGTGTCGGTGGCGGCGATGGCGACGGCGACGATGAGCATCCAGCGCCTGTTGACGAGCCGCTCGCTTTCTCCCGTCCTCTCCGACCTCGCAGAAACGGACTTGCGAATGCGCGTTTACCACACTTCTCGCCCTTCAGGTTTTTTAGATGAGGATTCGACACCTCTGACTGATACTTTGCCATTACTTGCTCCAACGGCATTGTCGCCTCCATACACAGATTACTAACATTCTCTTCCTCATCTATACGCAATGTAACGTACGAAGACAATCTCATTAAAAATTTAGTTGTGCAGATAAGGGGAAAGAATAAATTAGAGCTTGCATAGCGCACAATTAGCAAGAGCGTCTGTATAAGGGTAAACCCCGTAATAATGCATATCCTTAATACGAAAAGAAACGCACCAGATTCGTTCAGGTCGCCCTCCTTTTTCTCTGACGTGGACGTCCCCGCGAGCTCTTTGAGTACACTGACTACCTCTGGTTTTGTAAGGGTGTCGTCGAAACCGAGGAAAGCATCTATTAAAGCTTGCCTAATGTCGTCCTTTTTATAAGCTTCTGTCTGTTTGATAAAATCAGGGAGATTGCGCGCGCAGTACGTCGCAACCTCGTGTCCACCATGACCGTCGTAGACGGCGAACAACGAGACATTCTCATCAAAATCTATGCAACAGTTATGAGCATCCTGCAAAGAAAGTTATAGTTAGTCACGTGCTGTCATCGACAAGATTTCTTTCATGTTCTAGAAAGCATTTGTCTTAAATACCGTTCTAGAAGTTTCTACAAATCATAAAACCACAGGATACAATGCAGAAATTTTTGTTCGGAACAATCAATTTATTTATTCATTTAATAACGATTCCAATGGCATCAACGAATAAGGAAAGAATAAGAATTATAATTATTGCGTCAGAATTTTGTCGTCCGCAGGAGGAAGCTAACAACCGCTACTGTACGGTACACGGCGATAGCGGAGAAAGTTAAGAATGTCCAATAAGATAATAATTTTTCCGACGAAACGTTCCCGCGATAAAATATCGTGATCGGCGGTGTCGCAAGGACACCGTCTTATCGAGCTGTCTCGTCTGTTGGTAAATAAACGCATGCAGTGGCGAGGAAGCCATCCGCGGGAGCGTCGGATGCTGCGCCCGGGGCACCCCGCGCGGACGTCGTCGGCCACGTTCGGCACGCTCGGCCCCCGGCGCGCGAGGCATCGGCGCGCGGGACGCCGTCGGCGAGCGTGCCATCCGTGATCTCGGCGGGGCCCGGGTGAGACCGGCGAAACGCGCGAGCGAGCCTCGAAACTGGGTAAATTGGTGCAACGATCAGAGCGAGCGAGCGAGCGAGCGAGCGCGCGCGCGCGCGCGCGCACGTCGCGACCGTTGCCGCCGTCGCTGCCGCCGCGACGACACACGACTTCCCGCTTACCTCCTGACTGATCCGCCAGCCCTGCATGGAGCTCGCGCCGTACGCGACATCCTTTCCCACTTCGTCGCTCGACTCCTTCTTCGTAATCGGCTCCGACAAGTACGCTCCCATCTTTTTTATAAATACCGGCTGGCCGTCGTGCTACTCCCGCGGCGTCCGCGTAAAATGTTATATCGCTATACGTTCCGCCAGAAAAACAGAACTCACAAGCGTGGTGCACAGTCGTTAACTAGCCTCCCATGACCGGTTTGGCTTTCTGTTTTCCAGCCGCGCCGCTGGCGCCAGCTGGGCCGCCGGAGCCGCGCCGACTCGAGCGCGCCGCGCGCGTTTCGCGCCAAACTTAAAGCGACGTGCGCATGTAGGGATATCGGAAGAAGCCGCGAACCACTCGGACCGGATATGCATACACCGTTCTATTTTCAAGTCCGTAGTCCCAGCGCTTGTGCGTCGTGGTCGGAGCCGCGAATGGAGACTCGTCGGCCGTATCGAACGAGGAAAGATGCGACGACGTCAAATTCAATGCAATTGCCGCTTTGGTTGCAACAATCCGACCAGACCGATTTCGAGAATAGCTGAAGGTAATTATTGATCTTCTTATTAACGGGTTATTTATTTTATGAATTATTCATTCAGGTAAATCACATTCGCATTAAATTTCGATTCGTTCCTTTTATAAATATTTTATGTTTATCTTTAAATAATCTAGTAGTAGTATAAAAAGATGTGTATTGCGAGATGTGTATTGAAAATCAATTGTACCAATATTAACGTGCGTATCTTTAAATATCAAATTAAGGATAATAATAATTGGCCGCATTAATATAGCACATTAATATTGGAGTGTACTTTATTCAATATTAATAATGTTATATAAATTCGTTTATTTTCAAAGAAGTATTACGATCAAGTAGTTCAGAGAGATCTCTCAGACATTTATACGGAGCGAATTATATAAGTTTTTAACGCTAGAACAGAAGGAGACATCGAATCGCCTTTGAACGTTCCGCGCTTTGTCCAGAGCGGTGGAAGATAGTACGGTCGCGTGGCGCGAGGAGTGCGGGTGTCGCGCACGCTTGGCGTGACGCGCGGCTGGAGGGGGGAAACGGAGTAAGGAGGAAGGGAGGGGAGTGCGTACGGAGTAGTGCGCCGGGCGTCCGGTCCGCCGAGGGTAATCGAGATTCGGTCGGTTCGGAGCTTCGAGCGAGCCCGCCGCCAGTCGTTCGGCGGAGCTCGGGGAGGTTAGGTCGGGCTACGCACCCCCCCGGATGCGAATGCTCGGTGGTACGGCAGCACACCGCGACGGTCGACAGACGGCAGCGGATACGCGGCGCGGAGACGCGCGTTCACGGCGGTGCCGCCGAGCACCGGTCTCGCTCATCCCCATCTCGCGCGCTCGCTGGCGAGCGTCCGTCGTCGTTGTCCCCGTCGTCGTCGCAGCCCCGAGTCGACCTCATCCCGGTAACGGGGGTAGCGAATCTCCTCGCTACGCCCGCTCGTCGTCCCAGCTCGTCGACTCTCATCCCTTCGACGTCTCGCCGCCGCCGCCGCCGCCGCCGCCGCTGCCGCCGCCGTCGTCGTCGCCAACACGTCGACCAGACAACGGACGCGCGGCTGGCCGTTATACGACCGCACCGTCGGCTCTCACCGCGGCCGTCCGTGCATCGTGCTCGTCGCACCTGTCGATACGCGTCCACCAAAGGGAGCGAGGACGAGCCAGCACCGTACGTTCCCGGCCTAGTGACCTGACCTTGGATCGGCCCGACCAGGTACGTCTGTCACCGTTTACTTTAAAAACGCCACGTTTCATCCCCGCCCCCGCGCGCGCGCGAGCGCGCGCGACGTTTTCCTCCGCGCGGTCCTCCCCGCGAGAGCGTTTCTTCCGGAGATGCATTCGATTATGGCGGGTGATGTGCGGACGCGCGGGGGTTGAAATCGCTGCTCGTGGTGGGTAACGGCAGCAGCACGCAGCTCGCTAATACGGGGTGCTTAACGCGCGTACGTGTTGCGGATAAGAGGATTTGGAGGCTTGCGCTAGTGATAGGTTTAAGTTGCCTCGGTTACTCGCTCTCTCGATATCTGGTACCTTCATCGCGGCTTCCCGATGCAACGCGACCCGCGCTTCACTTCGACAAATGAACTGTTGTATATATCGATCTCGAGAGCATTCCCCGTGTACCGCAAATTTCCGCGGTGTAGTTTGCAAAAAACGACGTGACGCACCGCGTTCGGCGCTTCCGGGCTGAAATTCTTTTAATTCGAAATCGCCTCGGGGAAAATTTTCTCATCGATCCGCGAAAGAAACTTCTCCGAGGCAAAAAGTTTTATCTTTCCGACTTTTAGCCGCTGTATCACGCGCGACGGTCCCGCTGCGGTTTATAACGTGCAAGTACAAAGGCCGCACTAAGCGGAAATGCGGGAATCTCCCTCGGCAAATGAGTACTCCTAACCGTGTATATGTTCGCAATTAAACTCTTCCCCGAGAGCATTTATCCGTTATCACGCAAAACTACGAGGCGAGCTGTCTGACTACATAGCAAGGTATCGCTCCACCGTGCGTGGTACCGCCGATGTCTGGCCCGACGCATCGTCATCTACTGCCCCGCGCCGTCGTCGTTGCAAGTGTCCGCCTCTACTACTGACGGTGATCATTAATCTCCCCCGCTACGCAAAACATATCGAACGAGCGAACGTTAATTTTCTTCTTTCACTGTGGAAAATCGAGATGAATATTTCACGCGTGATTAAGTCGCGTGATCGTGACTTTAACTCCAGCTCGTGAGTAGGATATACTAGCGTCTCTCGCGTTGCTAAATACACGAATACTCTTAATCCAATTCTTGCTGTCTAATTAATGTACGGAGTACGCGATGTATCCTGTGGTCACTTTGTGCGCGGTAAGATTCCGCGGAACGGAATTTTAATACGCGTCCGCGCACTCGGGGGAATTAATCGAATTAGAGTGAATTAAATGACGCCGAGGTACAGGACCGTACAGGGATTATATGTGTACGAGTACATCGCGCGCGCGTCCGCCAACAGGATTCACTCAATTTGCTCGCGGGCATTTTCTGTTTCGCGACAAGTTTGCGAAGTGTGTGTGTGTGTGTGTGTGTGTGTGTGCCATTGCAGGAGGCCCGCGATGGCAAATGTCCAAAATGCGAAGCAGAATAAGCGTACGTAATCTTACAACGTTGGTTTTAATTATCCCGTTTGATCCGCCCATCCAGAAGTCATTATTTGCTCCATGCAAACTGTTGCACGTGCGCCACTACACGACGAATTCGCTTTCGATTGAGCCACGCGAAGTAATAAAAAGTGCTATTAAACGGAGACTGCGAGGTCAGTTTTAGAAATACTTATATTATTAGAAGCGACCTTTTCAAAAATTCTTGCCGTTTATATGGATTTTTAGTAAAGTAAAGCGCCATTCTCGTGAAATTAATTCGAGTAGCAGTGAGTCTCATAAATCTTCGATTCTGCAGTTTTATTTTAATTTTTCAATATTAATTAATTAGATTAATCGGAGCTTACGATTTATTATATTGGCGTTGAATGTAATGAGAAGTTGTTTCTCGATTTAATCTCGGAACGCGACTCGTAATCACAAAATACGACAAATTGGTGCTCGTTTTTTGTTACGTGGTGTCTGTAATTTTTGCATCCTTTAGCTCTTCTCGTATTAAAATGATATGCAAAAGTGAACAAAGCGTTTGTTTTTCGTAGTAATTTGATAAACTCTTTATTTTTTACAATTTTAGGATTTTAAGTATCTTTCTTTTTTAGGTAATCGGGTATCTTTTTTTTCTTTGAAATGGAAAAATATTTGATTCGAATTGTAATCGATCCTTGTATTGTATCGATACCTTCTGATAATATGCTTTATAAAGAATCTGTTCGAATTTGTATTTTTCAATTCAGTTCGTTAAATAATAACGATACCTCCTTTCTTCTCCTTATGATCGAGGTGAGTGAACAATAAGGCAATGAAGGTTGAGTGAAATAATACTTCACGAATTTCTTTTTCATTAATTTTGCACGTTCCACTTGGAAGTAGCACCATTTGAAACAGAAGTACTGTCGTAGAAAAAGCTTCACGAGGTTTGAAAGCGGAGCTTTTAAAATCGCTTTGTTCGAAAATCGTCATACAATAAATCTTATTTTTCGCGAAATTACATAAATTTGCATTTTATTTAATTTTTGCCACCAATTCGAGTAGCTTATTAATTCTGTTGGAAAGTGCGTGATAAGATTATTAAAAATTAATTGTACCAGGTTTTTTTATTATTAATTCCAATTTGCAATAAACATTTGCCCGAGTTTAATGAAGATTGATTAAATCGCGATATTCGTCGAATTGCGATATTGATATATAAAGGATTTTTTTTTTTACGTAATGTTCACGCTCCATTTCTCTCCTAACATCATAGTTCCTCTTGAATTCTGATTACCGCGAATAAGGATTTCGCCCAAGATCAATCTGAGCAATTCGGGAGGAAGAACATCAGATGGAGGAAATCCCCGCAATATGCCCGGTACATGACACAAATACCACGGTTTATCTTCTGCGCATGAAACTAATTATGCGAAGACTATAGGGTTTTAAAGGTAAAGTAAAGGGTAGAACATACTAGATAATTTGTTCCTGTGTGGATGAGAACAAGAGTTACACTTCAATATTTTTAAAGAAAATCTGTAATTAACCGTGGAAGACTGGTTGCATTCATTGTCTCGGAAATATCAAAAGGGCGACTATTCGGAGCATAAGATATCTCGTGACACTAACAATTTAATTTCTACATAGAGTGCACACACAAAACGGGTCGTATTTGGATATTCGTTGTCTCCGTGTTTCAGTCGGGCATGTCAGAAATGCATTCAAAGGCGAGAGGAGAATTGCAAATCCTAAAATTGTCATAGAGAATAATGAGTCTATCAAATTACTACGAAAAGAAACGCTTTCCTCATTTTGCAGATTTTTAGCCTTTATGTATATTTTATTCAAAAGATTACAAGCAATGTACATTTTGTTTTCTAAAAGAATTTTTTATGCCCAAGTGCGTTAGATTTGGTTTGCGAATAATGATCAATTTCTGTGCAATCTTGGCGTCCGTTGTGAATCGATAGTTTGCAAACTATAGTACGAAAAGTTAAAGCTACAGTTATGCTATCATCCTAATTTTATCACTGGAGTTTGATCAAGCGTGATATACTGATAAAAATTACGTAACAGATCAGTGAGACATTATAGCGTTGAATATT